AGGAGGGGAGGGGGGATTTGTGAGATAGGCTTCCTGGTATTTTGCTTTCCAGAGTTAAACCATGACACTTTAATAGTAGCTATGTTTTCCAGATGGTCAAGAAAAGATGGTCCTTACCCAAAGTGTTCATGGACTTTAAACAGAGAGATATGGAGACCACTTTTAAGGGAAATGGCAAAAAGAAATGAGAGAGGGAATGTTTATTGTGGTGGTGGTGTTTTAGTGTCAAGTATTATGATGTAACTTAAAAATTAAGAGGAACAGATCCTGCAGAATTCAGCCTGAATTATTTACCATCTTTCAAAGTGTTCAGTTGTGCCCAGAGAAGGGCAACAAAGCTGGTGAAGGATCTGGAGCACAATTCGTGGAGCGGCTGAGGGAACTGGGGTAATTTAGCCTCGAGAAGAGGAGACTCAGGAGAGACCTTGTTGGTCGCTACACCTACCTGAAAGGAGGTTGTAGCCAAGTGGGTGTTGGTGTCTTCTCCCAAGTAACAAACGATAGGACAAGAGGAAAAGACCTCAAGTTACACCAGGGAAGGTTTAGATTGGATATTAGGAAAAGTGTCTTCACTGAAAGGGTTGTCAGGCCCTGGCACGGGCTGCCCAGGGAGATGGTTGAGTCACCATCCCTGGAGGTATTTGAGAGATGTGTGGACAAAGTGCTCAGGGACATTTTTTACTGGTGGGCTTAGCTGTGTTACAATAATGCTTGGACTTGGTGGTCTTAAGGTCTATTCCAAACTAAAAGATTCTGTAATTCTATGATTGTATGAAAGTGGATATTTTCAACTATCTATTCGTGACTGCTGGAAGACAGCTTGGAGGGTTTACCTGGTTTTGACTACATCAGATCTGTCTGTAAGATGTATTTCTGCCAGCCTCAGTCATATCCTGGAAGGTGAAGTAACTTGGTAGAATTCAGATTGGCCAGGAAGGTTTGAACTCTTTCTTATTTACGGAATTAAAGCGTTTGCAATTTGAAGATTGGCTGAAAAGTCTCTTGCTGCAACTTCTCTTATTTGGGTATATTCACACATCAAACAAAGGTGCAGCCTGTGGTCACATAAGTGTAAATCATGAGTAGGCATCTTACATCTGTTTGAGAGAGATCTTTGATGTGTAATGACTCATAATTCAGTTTGATTAGGTTTTTTTTTTTCCTCTTTTTTTTCTTTTCCCTAGAATACTATTGGAATTCCTATTCCCATCACTAATCCTGCAGATAAAATTCTCAAGCTGAGTGTGGTGTTGGAAAATCAGTCACTTTCTGGAGAAAAATCTTTCACTCTTATGCCCAAACAAACATTCCTCTATCAGCTACATTTTTCCCCAGCTGTTGTTGGCACTTCAGATGGAAGGTAAGCTGCAGAGTTTTGATACTTGTGATTGTAGCTCGTGTACTAATAAGTGAACTACTTTCATTGAAACCTCAGTCACTTGATGTAGTTATCACCTTAAAACAAACCACAAAAGCTAATAAATGGAATAAAAAAAGTTTTCAATTTTAAATATATTGTATCCCAAAATCAGTTTTCCTGTGAGGGCAAAAACCTGACTGACAGGCAGTAAATAACTTCTAGTTATTCTAGTTCACTAGAATTTAGTGAACAATGCTTTAGATTTTTACTTAATATTAGAAGCTCTCTCTGAAATCTTCAGATGAATTGTTAGTTCTGTAAATTTGTAAGTTTTTTAAACAGAGTAACATGATTTTGTTTTTCTTCTGAGAAGGAATGAAACTAAAACAACATAACTAAAACCAGATGAAAAACACTTTAACAGTTTTCACAGAAATCTATTTAGCTTCGAACCCTTCTATTAATTATCTACTGAATGAATATGGAGAGGAATTAAATAACAAATTTTTTATCACCTTGGAAATCCCTACTATTTCCAGGTATGATAATTAGCAATACAAACACAGAAGGCCTCTTGGTCTTAGTTTCAGCTAAACTAGTTCAGCAATTAACTGAACAGTGCAGAATTGCAAACTTTATTTTCCTGAAATCTGGTTAACAAAGCATTATTTAGCTGAAAGGCTGATTGAAAATCAATTTCCCGTTTTCCATGTTATCAATTGACTGGCAAAATATGGTGATGGGGAGGAGGATGGGGTGATGGTTTATGATGAGGGCAGAGACAGATGACCCGTTCAAAGACCAAATATTTACAAAGCCAAAATCCAGGCATTTCAAAATTTTCTTCAAATCTCTTATATTGATTTGTCCAAAGACCAGAGTAATGACAGGTATCATTGTTCAATACAGCTTTCAAACAATACTTTTTTATAAAAATGAGTACTGTTATCAGTCTAGTAAATATTTTTTTCTGTGGGAATTTTTAGAAATTATGCATTCCGAAGCTGTGAATAATAATAGACCTAATTTTTTCATACCTGGTAATATTTCTGGTATTTTTCAAGTGTAGAATTTCCAAATAGTAAAATAAAGGTTGGTTTTAACTGGCAAAACTTTGGGCTCAGCTGGTTGGTAGGCTGGGACTGAGGGGAATATATACAAAGATGACATAAAGTACACCTGTACATATTCATTACAATTATGCAGTACTGTGCTGGAAAGCTGTGTAATAGCTGTTTTAAATTTCAATGGCTCCCAAGGATTACAATTACAGCTGGACAGAGGTACTTCCACATTCCATCCACACTATTATCTTTTTATTCTGAAGCCATGCGCTGTTTCCTCTGCCATAGCAGCAGCTGGGAAGAAGTGTTATAAAAGTGCTTGTGGCAGGTGTACCTTTTCAAATGGATGATTCTTTCCTAAGCTGTTTTATGCTCACTTTAAAGGCTGTGTTGGCACAGGGGATAGTCTGGAACCATAAAGTCATGGAACAGGCACAGTTATCTGTCATTTAGAACAAGAACTGTTCCTTAGTGGGTCATGGGTTTGCACAATGCATTTCATGTAAGATTTTATAGGCTTACAGTGCTTTGCTTTAATGTTGTTATGACTCTGCTACTCAAAAAAACCCGAGAGATAAAAAAGAAATATGCAATAGGAAAGGAAATGTGTTAGAATGTCTGTCACAGAAATACACTGCTGTACGTATCTCACCTAGAAGCAAGCAATTTTCAGTCATGACAGCAGTTGATTGTATATCAAAACAATATATTGAATACTCCTTTGAAGCATATCTCTTTGTCATGCTCATATAAATGTGTCTATATCTATTGCTCAGTATTCATCACTACATTTAAAAAGTTTTTCCTTTTTTAAAGTCAGTGAATACTGTTTCTGTTTCATTGTCCTTCGGGTTCAAGATGGCTAGAAAGAAAATACTGTGACATTGAAATTAAATTAAAGCTTACTCGTGTAAACTAGAAGTTGAAATGCCTTTGAGTTGTATTTTTGAAACAAAACCCCAACTTTTTACGCTAAAGAGTTAAGAAAGATGAAGAAGAGATTTTGTTGCATAACAATTGAAAATATTATTTTTGCTGGCTGAATTAAAATATCAGCAAGAAGTGTTATGGGTAAACTGGGAAATAATTAGCACACTGTGTTGAAACTCATTAGATTTTTCCTGAATTTTAATCTGTACATTTTTAAGTGTCTGCACAAAAGCTGTGTCATATTAAGCTTCTTTATCTGTTTTTAGTGTCATATTCCTGTCAGATATGGTTGGAGAGTTTTGGTATGCACTGAAGTTCATTGTAGAGAAACCACAGCCAACTAGTCTACCTGAAATAGAATGTGAGCTTGGAAAGTAAGTATGGAGTTCACTGTGCTGAACTTGGTCAGCACAATAGTTTGAAGTATCGTGGAAAACATATGAAGAGTTTACAACAAAAAGCCAGAATATGGCTGTATATGTACTGTAGTGGTTTGTAGATAAATTTCACAGATATATATGTAGATAGGTGAAATTGTCCTTTCAGTAGAACAATTTAAATGGAATTGTAGCCTATATGCAGACTCCTTCTCAAGTCTTTATATAGAAGTCCTTCTGAAAATACTGCAGAATCTAACCATAAAGTTCCATAATACAGAGTTCTGTAGGTTTGTTCTATTTTCAGTTGCTTCTCTCTTTCCAAACTAGGAACATATCTGACAGCCCTGCTTTACAAATGCTTGTATACCAGTTATCAATTTCTTTTAACCTTTTGAGAAATGGCAGTGATAGTTTCTGTCGTGCAGATCCTGTAGGGTAGACATGGTTTGAACATTGCAAGTGTTAAGAAGATGAGCTACTTAGAGCAGAGAAATTAACCCAATTCTTGTCTGTCTTCAACAAAAGTTCATCTTATATTTCTGTAGCATAGTTTTCAGTCCTGTCTTTCAGGATAGAAATCAAAACTTTTAGGATAAAGCTTTCAAGAATGTCAAAATTTCAGTAGTCCTCTTCTACCTTTTACCTCTGCTTAGTAGTATGTGGACACATTTTTTTTTCTTCCGAAAACTAAATTCCACTTTCTACTGCATTTCTTATCTTTGACTGAACCTGTAATTAATATACATTACAGATTGTGCAAAAAATGTTAGTGTGTACAACATGAAATTTTACCAAATGAAATTTTTGTGAATGAATATATTCTGCTGTTTATATATGATACACAGTCTAGAGTTAATTGGCAATACTTTTGTTACTCTGTTTTCCTAAGAAAATCAGTAGGGCTGTCCATTTCCTCGTTTTTATTTTAAAATTCTGGGCTGACTGGAATGAAAACATATTTCTTCTCTACTACGTAGTCTGACAGTGTTAGGAATTAGTCTGAATGAAAGGGTTTTGCTTCTATCTGGCATTCATAATTTTCTACATGCGCAAGTGGTCTGGCTGAGAATGGCAAGTCATCCTTTCCTACTGAAAATAAAATTTATGTTGGAAAGGGTTACCCCGTTAACTAAAACACTTGCCTCTCACAAATATAATCACAAATTAATTAAATTCCGTGTTTTGGGGTTTTTTTTCAAAAGAGATTTCTTTTCACTTTACAAGTAGATGCATGTTGTAATTACTATGCATATGTAAACTCATCTATATCTGCCCTGGGCAGATAGTGGTAGAATAACACATGAAGTGCTAGTTTAATTATTAGCAACAGCAGCAACAGTAATGCATAACAGAAAAATTAACAGTAATCTCTTCCATATATCTTTATATATATTATAAAACACTGAAATAAAACTTACAAACATCTTTCTTTTCTGTTTACATTATCTGCCATATTCTTTGTTTCATAAAGTCACTTGGTTTTGTTCAGTGATTTTCTTCAACACTCTCCTTTTTCTAGAAATTTATATTACTTAGTCAGCATATTGTCCTCTTCTTGGAGTGCAAAATTTTGGAAAATGATATAGTCCAAGTAAATTGTCTGCATTAATATATGCTGACTGCATAAAGGTAATGCAGGTAGACATTTGTATGTTGTCTGTTTAACAATAGTATCTTTTTTTTTTTTTTTTGAACGGGTGTACTTCCTCACTGTGTTCCCAGAGTCGTGGACTCTAACTGTCATAAAATGCTAGAAGCATTTCCGCTCACTTCCATTCTACCACCTTTTCCTTGAATGCAGAAGAAGCTTTATGATATGTGATATCCTTCTAAAAATAATGGTTTTAGTTATGTCCTAAATTTAAGAATTTGTGTCCTTGAAACATCACTTGGAACTGGATTAGGAGTCAAGAACCTATTGATACACTTAGAATCAATTTCTAACTGATTCTTGAAAGGGAAAAGAACAAATTCCAATACTTTATTTTTTTAATCCTTCTTCAGATATCCTGACATTCTGGGTTTATCACAGCCAGATCTGCTTTTTGTTTCTGTCAAGGTAGATTTAACACATCCTTTAGCATATGCGTCTAAGCAAGGAAACCTTCTCCTTGATATTCTCCATCTTCATTTATCCACGCTGTTATGGGCTCCACAGCAGAGTCATTGAAGATGAGTCAGTTTAATGTTGTTCACAGTGGTCTTGAATTTACTGTCACATGCAACAACTTTTTCTATCATAACCATGGTAGTCAATCTGCTGTGGCAGAGGTTCTTAATGGATTTTGATCACTTGAAGAAGCTCTAACAGTCTTGTTGTTTACTGAAATTTCAGATATTCCTTTGACAGTGTTATGTATGACAGACCAGAAAAAAAAACAAAGGGTTAGAGACGGTAAATGTGAAAAATGGGAATTATGTCATGAATCTGAAGTTCTTGTGTGAAAGTTCCCTGGTAACTCTGCTGTTGATAACTCAGTGATAAAATGCTCTGACAACGTTAGTCAAAACCAAATCTGGCACTTGGCTTCTGGGGTTTTATATCACTATATATTGGAAGGAGCCAACCTGCATACAAGTTTTAGGGCCTGAAGTTACAGTCAAAAAGCTTGATGGAAATACTTTCTCTTCTGAATATTGCTTTTTAATATTTTCTTTTTTCTTACTGATTTAGCTATGATTAACTGACTAATTTTTTCCAGAGGATAAATATGTGGAGCAGTCTGGCAGTTGACCTGCCAAAGCTTTGACTAGAGGGAATATCCATTAGGTAGATAAATTACAGCAAAGCCAATATATGTATCTCATTTATCAAACTTTTCTTATTTACTCTTTTCACTGACTGACCTTGAATCTCTTTTCTGTGTCCCTTGGTGTTATAATGAGAATGTGATTTATGGTCATATGTCTTTGTTAAAGGAAAATAATATATTATTTTCATCAGAATAGAGAAATTTTGGGGAGTCATGAATTCTTTTGAAAATTGTTCTTCCTATTGAAGTCATCTTGTGTTTGTTTACTCTTTAATTAGAAAATAAAGAAGGACAGTCTGTAAAATATAGTGCCAGCTGATTCGAAACATAACATTTAGGCAATCAGCACACTCCAGTTTTGTTCTGGGACAGCCACAATACTCATTGAAATACAGTCTACATGTGCAACGTAATGATTTACCATTATGCTATAATGAACAACAGAACAATTGTACAAAATGAAACAGATTTTGAGTTCATGCAGAGAAAGAAAGAGAAAGGAAACAGGCAGAACCTCCATTTAAATGGCTGGTGTGGAACACTATGTTTGTTTTGAGATCTCAAGGTTACAAGATGATCAAGAAGAATGGCTGCCTAGTGGCAGTAAATTAAAAGCTAATGTCAGCACCACTTAATTACAAGCTTCTCCTGTAAACCATTGCTTAGACAAAAAGGAGTTACAGCTATCATTTATCTGATTACCTTTAATTTCTGTCCAGGGCTTTTTCTGAGGCAGACTATGAGTCCATGGATAGACTACAGAATAATAAGGCATAAAATTATTTTAATTTTTGGAATCAAATTTTTTTGTTGTCTTTGGCACTCTGAATTATCTGTTTGACTAAAATGTTTTATTCCAATGTTAGATCTACAGAAAGTAAGGAAAGGAAGGTGAAACATAAATCTGAAGATTGGAGCCTAGGAATAGATGTGAAGCTGTGGAATCAGAGACACAGATTTATTTCCACATCCTCCTATCTAAAAGTTAGGCATCAAGTTTAAGGCATTAAGTCTAGGCTCCTCCTGTAGACAATGAAGAGTGATTCCACATCTTAGTGCTCTACAGCAGGACCAATTCTCTCTGAAAATGTTTCTGTCCTTGTTAAGTATTGAGTGAGCTAGACAGTTCCTTTAACTATGTAACTTTAACTTCCTGACAACTGGAGTACAGTGAGACAAATTATGCCCTTATAAATGACCCAAATATGACAGTGGTTATTGCTACCAGATTTTATTGTTGTTAGTAGTTATTAATAACGTTAATTAATGCTAATAAGTAGGTGTCCATACTAGTGGAAAAATACTAATGTAATAAAAGATAATTGTTATTTTTAAAAGTACCCATCTTCCAAGAAAGAAAATAACTGATGAGTAATAAAATGCAATGGAAGAAACTTAGTAATTAATAACCTTTGCATATATGTATTTTTTCCAGATGGGCTCGTCTACACATACCTCTCTCTAATCCCACACATGAAACTCTGGAGCTAGAAATTGTTAACAGCAATCCTAGCAATTTTTCAATCGAGACTGATCCAGAACACCCTGTAAGTAAGATTTCTGTGCTTTCACAGAAGTGGTACAGGAGAGCCTTCTCTTCAAAAGCTATCGAATTGTATATCATACTGTGGATTCAGAACATACAGCATAGTCTCTATGGTTAGAGGCATTATAAGTGTGCACTCTAAAGATTTTATAGCTTAAAGACAAAACCAATTAAACTTGAAAAGTAGTGCAAGCTGAAGTACAGATGTTTTTTCCCGGTAATGCTTTGTGGAATGATTTTGAGGACTGCAGTGTTGGTTGCAAATAATATTCAGGAGATATTAGGAGGGGAAGTTGCAAACACACCAGATGTATTAGAAGTTTTACAAGATTCTAAAAATCATCATGGTAACTGGGGAAAAATTTAAGTAAGTAAATAAAATGTCAGTGTAAGAATATAAGAATATCTGATAGTGGTGGCAGTTATAACTAACTTACAGTACCTATGAATAAGAATTTGAACAATTTAGCCACAAGAAATCTTCAAGTAAATACCTGGAATAATTTTATTCTCCAGACTCACATTTACCCTAAGACTGATTTCTACTGAGAAAATCTTCATCCTGTTATCATTATGCACACTACATTTTCCCCCTTCATTACCAAAGCCCTTTCATCTTGCTGTCTAACATTTTTGTCAGCTTTCATATTTTCATTGAGATTGGCTAGAGTTCTGGATGGTCCGGACCCTGAAAAATACTCATTATTAGCAATAATTAAGGGTTAATAATAGAGGTCCTATGAAGAACTCTTTAGATGTTACTAACAATTAATGCTATTACATATGTGTCCTTTGTAATGTGAGAAAAAGGAAACTCTGGTGCAAGTAGTTAGGGAAACCTTTTATTAGGATGTGAATACAAACCCTTTAATATGAAAAAAGAAAATTAAGAAACCTGTTGCAAACAAGGAAGAAATGGTAATGGCACCTTTTCTAGACATGAGGAGGTTAATACAGGGGAGACATACACCAGACCTGGTTTATTTATGCAAACTGGTGTAACGGTCAGAGGTAGACGAAAAGAATATTGTAATAAGATTCTAAAATGAAACTGAGAAGGTAGAAAATTGATTGTATGGGGAAAATAGCGGAATGCTATGAAGTCATAATATATGCATTTTTTGCTTTCAGAAACTAAACAGCTTTCAGCCTCAAATATACCAGTACAAGACTAGATGTTCTTAAAAGGGCTTGAAAGATGACAGCTAAAGGGGATCACATTTAATTAACTGCCCTGTATTTTGCATACATAGCATTAAATTAAATTAAAAGTATGACATGTGAAGTGTTTATTTTAGTCTGTCTTTTATGTCATGCACATTAACAGATCTTCATACATTATGTTAAAACTTAACAGGTGCTATTATTTCATCAATTGGTATTTGAATAGGAGTTAAGAAACATAATGGATGCAAAATATTTTAATCATCTAGGAGTATTATACATGTTATGTTTGGGTCATTGGCACAGAAGTGGATTAGATTTAATTATAGTGACTTTTGGCTCCTGCAGATTGCCTGTTACCTTGTCCAGGAAATCTAAAGAAACTAAACAAAACCAAAAATCTCCTCCTTTCAGCTTTGCTAATGTAATACCAGAGATTCACAAGACACATTCAATACTACCTGCAGTAATTTTCTCTTTCTTCCTTCCGCCTTTACCTCTGCCTTTGCCTCTGCCTTTGCCAATAGAATACTCAGTCCTAAATATCATCAATGCATTGAATTCTGAAGTGTTCTTTGTGAATTACAGTGGTTCTTCCAGTTAAAAGATAGCTTTGGTGAATTTACGATAAGCAATTACCTTTTTTGAGCTTGTTTCTTCCACTGGAGACCCATGATGGAGAGATAATGTAATTTTCTTCACAGTTTTGATGACAATGATGGGAGTGGAGTTTAAATACATGTTGCTTCTCCTGAATATGTTGCATCCTAGGTTTAGCCCCTCCGTACACCACTCTGTTCAACCTCCAGAAGATTACTGCTTGTTCTTATAAACTTCAGTCTGTTTTTCAGGTATTATTGCTTGGTTTAATGTCTTTGTGTTATGTGGAAGAAGTTTCCCATCTTAATTATTCAAGTTTCTGCTCTCTTTAAAGCAAACAATGCTTTTTTGTCAGCAGAAAAATTCTGATTTGAGAGATCCTCAGATGAAATGTAACAATAAAGAGCAATAGTAATTTGCTAAAACAATAGATTGAAGATGGAATTGTCCCCTTAAGATAGGTAATGTTTGAAAAGAATCAGTAGTTTTAAAATTTGCATATTCTAAATCGGTAATTTTAGTATTTCATATAATTATCCATATTTGGTTTTATCTTGTCTAAGATGTAGAATTGTTGAAAATACTGGAGTGTCAATTAGAACATATCTCAAAAGGATATTATCAGTCACAGTGTTATGCTAAAAATTCAGATTCAACAGAGATATCAGAGAAAATGCTATCTTTCCTAGAGATAAATTACCTAAAATTTAACCAAAATTTTGACTAATATTTCAGATTTTAAATTAATTTCCTTACCAGATTTATCATTCTTCCATGTGTGTGTTGGTCTTTCCAATTTCAGTTTGCAGCAGAAGGCATTACTGAAATACCACCACAAGGGATTATTTTCTGTAGACCTGATTCAACTTCAAGTACTGACATCATTTATAATAGGCTTTCCTGAGGTCCAGTTGAATTACACTCCAGTATTCCTGAACTTCTGGAGCTTAATGAAGGTCTAAATGAAATTTGAAGGCTTTAAATCTGTCAGCTTCCTGTAAATTAGGAGTAACTCCATTAACAACTTCGTAAACTGATGAAAATGAGAAAAGTGTATGTATCTTGTTAGAAGCTTTGCAGTTGTAAGCTAAACCAACTTTAAATGTAATTTACTGTCTTGGTTTTCTTTCAGTAATTTGATAAAAGTTTTCAACAATTAAACAATTTCCTTTAATATGATTTGGATTCTCATATCTTTTTTTTTTTAAGCAAGCTAAACCTTGGAAAGGATATTTTTTTTTCCTTTCTTGTCAACCTTACACTATATAGGTTAACTTAAGGCCTTTATAAATGTTGTCAATCCTCTAAAAGTTGGAACAGAAATGAACTCCCATAAGGCCGCTACAAAATTCCTGACTTGTTTTTCATTAGCATGTTGAGTTTCTGGAACAGTCATGGGGATGTTGAGTTTTGTGTTTCTTTCCTAACCACAGCTGGCTTTATCTCTAGAAGCGAAGGATTAATATTCAGCATTTATCAGATGAAAATGTACAAAAATGTACTTAAATGTACAAAAAACTCTTATAAATAGGATCACCTATATTGCCAAAAGGAAACACTTTCACTGTATGTCTTCAGCTTGCTATTCTCCTGGCTTATAACTAGCCTAAAACCTTTTCATGAAGCTGTATTCCATCCTGATAAGATATGAAACAAAATCTTATATTGAGGAAATATAATGTAAAGACAGGCTTGCAGAGAGTGGTAAACTTTTACATTTACATTTGGTGGATGAAAAACTGAACATGAGCCGGCAGTGTGCGCTGGCAGCCCAGAAAGC